TAGCCGGGCGCCAGGTACCCGCCCCCGTAGCCCGTCGCGTACTCGGTGGCCGCCGATGGGCCCCCGCACGCGTTGCCCGTGTACAGCGGCTCGGCCAGGTTCCCGGCTACTACCGGGGAGCCCCCGAGGCCCGCGGACCCACCCCCGCCGGCCGGCTTGGCTCCCGGGAGGCCTTCGTGGAGCGATGTCAAGGGGTAAGGGGGCTCCGGCCCCGGCCAGGGCTCCGGGTCCCCTTTGGCGCCGTTGAGGAAGGCGGCGTCACCGTAGCCGCCTAGGCCCGGGCGCTCGTAGGGCGAGTCCAGGACTCCGGAGTACTTCTCAGCGTAGCGCTTGAGGAGGTTGGAGGCAGTGAGGGCGGAGATGTCGTCGTGTGCCCAAGCGTAGTGGCAGCGCTGGCGACCCCCTGGAGGCATCTCCAACTTGTGGGCCGGCGATGGGGTAGTGGAGGAGACGTCCAGGTGCTGCTCTGGCCACTGGTTGAGGGGCTGGGCGTGTTCTGGTGTCCAGTGCATCTTCGACAGAGCTGCAGGTAAGAAGAACAGTGACTGGTCAGCTCCTGCAGTGGCTCCGGGGACCCACTGGTGGTCCCCAGACTTAGATGATGACAGGCTACCCTCCCACGCTTTGGACCTAGAATTAGTTGTTTTTGTTTTTTAAAGATTTCTTTCTTTTTTTTTTTTCTTTTTTTTTTTTTAAGATTTATTTATTTATTATGTATACAGCATTGTTTGCCTGCAGGCCAGAAGAGGGCACCAGATCTCATTACAGATGGTTGTGAGCCACCATGTGGTTTACTGGGAATTGAACTCAGGACCCCCGGAAGAGCAGTCGGTACTCTTATCCTCTAAGCCATTTCTCCAGCCCCTAAAGATTTATTTCTTTATTATGTATACAGTGTTCTGCCTGCAGGCCAGAAGAGGGCACCAGATCTCATTACAGATAGTTGTGAGCCACATTGTGGTTGCTGGGAATTGAACTCAGGACCTCTGGAAGAGCAGTCAGGGCTCTCAACCTCTGAGCCCCTCTCCAGCCCTGTTTTTGTTTTTTTTTTAATTTTTATTTATTTATTTTTGTTTGGTTGGGTTTTTTGGTGTTTTTTTTTTTGGGGGGGGGGAAGGTTTCGAGACAGGGTTTCTCTGTGTAGCTTTGCACCTTTCCTGGATCTCGCTCTGTAGACCAGGCTGGCCTCGAACTCACAAAGATCTGCCTGGCTCTGCCTCCTGAGTGCTGGGATTAAAGGCGTGGGCCACCACTGCCCGGCTTTGTTTTTGTTTTTTTAAATAGTTTCCTTGGCACCAAGAAGGACCTAGAAATGCCATGGCTAGCCCTAACTGCACACGTCAGGCAGTGGTTATCCTCACCACACGGGCTCTGCCCCTCTGTGGAACAAAGGTCATTATTGGGACCTACCAGAGGGAAGGGCCAGGCTGGGAGAAGAGCTAGCCCGTGTGAGGCTCGTAGGTGACAGACACTGCTGTTCACCCACTATATGCTGACCACTGCAGAGGTGAGGCAGGCCCAGAGCTAGGAGGTCCAACCAGGTTGACACTGTGAGATTCTTTGTTCACCTTGGCCTTCAAAGAGATCCAAAGTCCACTTTGGGCCTGAGGTCAGAAGTGCCCTGGAGTGTGGTCCTTCCCATCAACCCCGAAAACCACGGTTGCTAAGCCAGCAACCCTTACTTCCTTTCCGTTTGATTTCTCTGGGCCTCTTCCTAAAACTAGAACGCTGCCAACTGCTATCTGTAGTAGCTGTGGAGTCTGGGCAGGTTCTCCTGCCTGCTCCCTTCCAAACCTGCCTGTTCGCATCACAAACATTATTTGGAATGGGCAGATCATTTGCTGAGGTCCACGGGGCAGTACAGAGCATGCAGGTCCCATTAAGTGCGTCCCAGAGCTGGTAAAGTCCCTGCCTGGCATGCTCAGAGACCTGGGTTCTATCACCAGCACTGGAGGGGTTAAAAGAGTGAACCTTAATTTGCTCTGAACTTCCCAGTCACCAAATAAAGAGGGAGGTACATCTCTCACTTTGCGAGACACCAGTCCTCAGAGGGACACAAAACTGTCCCTGGGGTGTGGGGTCAGGGAGCGGATCTGTGCGATGTCACAGTGTCTCTGCACCATTGACAGTCAGAACATTCCAAGGCTGTTCCCTGAACTGTCTGTCCTCTGGCACCCATCAGGGCACGAGTCCTGAACTAGTAAGACGGCCTGAGCAATTGGACATGGCTCCAGTCAGCCAGCCTGACCCCAGAACAAAATCTCAAAGTCGAAATGAGCCCATGGCATACCCAAACACAAGTTCTGTGGTGATTATTTCCCAAGCCCAAGCTTTTGGTGAGTTTATTTAGCAGGTTCCTCCTTTGGCACACTTTGTGTGGCTGTGTGTGTGTGTGTGTGTGTGTGTGTGTGTGTGTGTTTGGCTGCAGCGGGGACTGAACCCAAGGCTCCTGAAGGCCAGGTAAACACTAGGAAGCATTACCTCTAACTTCTCTGCAAAAACTGTATTGAGCAAAAGCTATGTGCTTTGCTAGGCATGGAGTTAGATTAAAGGGTGGTGAGGGTGGTTCAGTCAGCCAAAGTCAAGTAAATAACATCCTTTGTGAAACAGGAGAATAGAGGTGCGTGCCTGGGGTCCTGGCGCTCAGGAGAACACGCCTCTCCTGGCTGAGAAGGACTCACCCAAGAGCTCTACCAAAGTGTCTTCGTGGCATCTTGAGCCGTTCCAGGGAGCAGTGCATCCTGGGTGACAGGAATACTCAGGGCTAGCCGGCTGCAGTTATGCACGCCTGCATTCCTTGCGCTCAGACGGAGCCCTGGACTTTTAACACCAGCTTTAGCAGCACAAAGCAAGGCAAACCACAGCCGGCCCCTTTGGGCACTGTACTGCCACCTGCTGGAGACATCACAACCTACAGACCTATTCCGGGCTCTTGTACAGTGCACAGCTACAAAACTACACACTGTGAGCCTATAGAGAGGACCAAGAAATGCGGTCTCTGGAGACGTGTCGGGGTGTGTGCAGGAGGCTGAAAGCAGTGTCCCTGCAGTTCTGCATAGCTGTCCATACCGGCAGCAGCTGGTCATTCTCACTACTCTTGTGACCGTGGCTCGACTGATGGCAAGAAACAGCCTTGGAAAGGGAAATGGGCCCCATTTTCACTTTTATCTACATCTCTATCAACCTCGTAGCCAAAAGGCCCGCGGGTCCACCTAGAAAAGGCGTAGCTGTGCGCTAGTACCTAAAAGTTCTGGAGGTACCAGCCGCCGGAAGGAAGACACACAAGGAAGGGGTCAGGTCCCCAGCTCCCGCTGAGGGCTTTTCAAAGATGAGAGCCATCACCTGGTGATAAAGGGGCAGTTTCCTGGGACATGAAGTCACGACTTGTCCAACGACGATGGGGTCAGAGGAGGTGGCATCAGTTACATAGATGCCAGTGTCCTGTTACTCCATCAACCCAGGGTCCGACCCCACGTACTCTCACCTGTGTGCTGGCTCCTGGACTATCAATACAGAGCAGACATGTGACCTTAAGGACTGTGTCTCTCGGGAGCACACTAACCCTGCAGGGGATGAAGGGCACAATAAGGTCCAGGCCTGGACTTGTCCCCACGAGTTTCCTTCTCCCTTGCCAGGCAATCTTCACTTAAGTCCTCCCCAGGTACCACTGGGAATCACTCGTCCTCTGAGCCTGAGTCTCACTCTCTTTTGCAGAAGTCAGCCCTCTTGAGAGGAGACCTGATGCCTGGCATGTCGCCTAGTCACTGGCTTGTCTCCTCAGGTGCTTTAGATCATAGTCTCTCCATGTTTACCAGGAGAAATGATGCCATTTGCCCCTATTTCCACCTTTACCTGCATCTGTGTGCACCTTGTAGGCCAAAGCCTGATGGTCTACCCACCTCAGCTGGAGATCCCCATTCTGACCCAACCAGGATCTGGTCTGACCCCATGGGGCCAACCTAACTGCTGCATACCCGCTCCTTCCCTATCGTGAGTGTAACTCATCTCCAAGATGACCTCGCTCGGCCCTGGGTCCCCACTAACCACCAGCCTGGCTCTGCACCCCTTCTTTTGGTGACCGTGGTCTACGTGTAGTGACCAGGATCTGCTACGTGTCCTTTAGGCTAGCAGGTAGGCAAGGAACCATGCCTCCAGCAACTTCTGCTAAGCTGAGTTCTGGAGCATTGCATTTCCTCCAACCTATCGAAGGACGGACAAAGATCTGGTCTGCACCCGAGTGCCTAAGGCCTGGGCCCAAACAAAAAAGGGAGGGAGGCCAGGCTCCAGGATCTGCGCTCTGGTTGCAAATGGCAGCAAAAAGGATCCCAGAGACACAGCAGACGGCAAGAGTATGTATAGTGTTACATGCACTTGAGAGTGAAGGTCCCCAGCAAGAGCAACTGAGCTGTATGCACGCTACAGAGTGGTCCCAGGTGCTTCCTTGCACACTAAGCCACACCAGCCTGGCCTCCGGCATAGATGGAGATCACTAACTCCCTGCTCCTACCAGCCCTTAACGCTCCACACAGACAACCTCCCCCTCCGCTTCCTTCCGACTCACTCCGTCCTCTAGTCCTTGGGTCATCAGAGCCAGGGGTGAGGACTTAGTCAAGAGTGGAGCCCTGAATCAGGGAGGCCTGTTTCAAAGCCACGTCCACACACTCACAGGGGACCCTGAACAGACTGCCCAGCCTTATGGGACCTCATTTTCTCCAGATTAAAGGGCATAATACCTAACAGGCTGAGGGGCTGAGGATTTAAAATGATGTGGGAAAAGCAGTACAAACTCTAAGTCCCAAGTAGTACCCCTCTCTGGCTCAGTGACTGAATGGCTCCCTTGACCTGGGGGCTGGGGCCAGGAGCTGGCCTGAAGCCTGCTTCCGGCTCTGACGGGACAGGATGGTCCTCATGCCCTGTGACAGAACCCTGCTCTGTGCTTGCCCTGCACTGTTGAAGAGAGAGCCCTACCTCCCTCCAAGACCCACAGCAGGCAGGGATCAAAACTCTGGCCCTGGACGTCATCCTGCGGTGCCTGTCTCCAAGCGCTTTTGTCCTTCAGCCTGAGGAGAGAGTCACAGTGCTCACTCCTGTCCAGCCTAAGAAAATGGCTTCAATATTTCCCTGTAGACATAGCTGTCTCCCAGTGCTGTGGATTTGGTCTTCATAACTCATGGGGGAAATTTGTATCCTCCTGGCCAAATAGCCCCCGAAAGGCTGTTCCTTTCCCTGTGGATACGCAGTCACACAACTGCACGTGGCCAGAGCTGGCAGACAGTCCCTAGTTGGGGTTTTGCGGCTTGCCCTAGTGGTAGTTGGGACTCTGGGTAAAGCACCCTCTTTCCACACATGGGGTACGGCAGTCAGTGGTTACAGAACTACTGGAGAGAAGAATCGTTTCTCCTTCAGCCCCACTTCTCATTTCCAGGAAGTCCAGGGTTGCAAAACACGCGTCTCAGCCTTCACAACCAGCTTCAGCCCTGCGCCGCCTCCCTGCCTGGGAGCGCCCCACCCCCAGCCCGGTGCCCCAGGCCTGGCCCAAGTTTTGACAGCTTAGCCAGCAGCCCCCACGCTGTCACTGGAGGCCACCAGCCAAATGCCTCACCTCTCTGTGCCTTACACTCGTCTGTCAGTAACAACTGGCTCCATGGGAGGAGTCCAAACACTACACCAGA